CTGTATACTCGTTGAAGTATTGTGCTATTGACAAGCCCATGAAGACAGAAAAACCTAGTACAAACTTTGTTCTGAAGCTATTTAGGTTGCAGAACTGAAGGAAACTTAGCCCGGCTGAACCTGCGTGTGATAGATAATCAAGGACTGACTCTCAGGTACTTCACATGGAACAGATTGATAATAAGTTTTCAGGATTTTGCAAGACATACCCACATACGCAAAGAAAAGACAATATAAAGCTGCTATGATCGGAGCAGGAATCGAAGCAAAAACAGCCCCAAATTTTCCTGTTTATCAAAGGACATGAATTATTGATTAAGCATGGAAAGAAACAGTGCATATAGGGAGAGGATGGAGAAGTATAGAAAAAATCTTCAATTGTTGATAACCAACCAAGGATGGAGAAGAAAATCATGAAGCCCGCTGATATTTGAACAACCCTTCGACTACCAACAAGTGTCAGTGCCAACAAACCAGCATTCTCACTGCCAAAAGAAATATTCAATGAGATGGATCAACTTCATATCTTGGTAGGCGACAAGTTTACAGATGAATCTTACACTGATACAGATGATCCAGTTCCTGTTCCAAATATTCCAGAGAAAAGAATGCCAACTCCCTGCAATTAGGAAAAAATATTCAGATTAGGGAAGACAAATAAGGGACAGGGGACAATTTGCAATTACCAAGACAAACCGAGACATCACAGGTCTGGTTCGATATTTAACAAGTTTGACTGTAGAAATCCAGTGACATCCCAGATGGTGATACCTGCCAACCAATCCCACGGCTGAGAACAGAAGGTGGCAATGGAGTTGCACTTGCATACCTTGATACAGCAATGAAAGCACCAGTCGACTGTAAAGTGAAGAAGGAGACATAGGAGTGAATCCATCTTAGAAAATTATAGACCAATTATGTAATTGGAAAACTGTAAAAGGCAGATTGCTGCACAAGTATTTGTATCATTCCATGACCGTGTACCATAGGAATTACTGGATTCCACTCCACTGATGAAATCACAGAGAAATTTCACAACTATATCGTTCTTGAACCATAAAACGAATCTCAAAATTAAGAGGAGCATGTCACAAGCACAAGAGTAAACAAACCTCCACGAGGGCAACAAATGAAGCAGCCATCATTGCAAAAGCCTCTCCGGCATCAAATGAAGGAGCTCCCCATTGAAAAGGATATGGAACTCTTATCCTGAAGTCAACAAACAATTAACCGCAATCAACCAAAATGATTCCCCAGAGTTTAACATGGTAATGAATTTAAAGATTCAGCTGCCAGAATCTTATGAACTCTGATAAGCAATATGACTTCATGGGGAAGCCTCACCATGGAGCAGCACCAATAAGCCCAGCACGATCAGTTCTGCAGCTTATTTGAGTTTTAGTCCTGAGTTCTTATATGCACCACCCACGGTGAGTAGATGTGCATAAATCCAAACAATTACCACCGAGAATA